CCGGTCAGCGTCCGTAGACGGTATTTCCGGGAGACCCGGACGGAAAAATATGGCACGTGCCATATTTCGCCGGTCGGCAGCAAGATGGGCACTGGCGGCGGTAGTGCGGGGCCTTGTACCGGTGGCTGGATGGAAGGTTGCACCCTGGCTTGCGGTGGCGGGGTGTCTCGGAGGAGTCGCATGGTGCCCCTGAACGGCACGTTACTCCTGATCACCGGTCCCGACTGGATGTTGCTCATTGCTGGAGTTTGCGGCTCGTCCTCGCCCAGCAGTGGCATGTCGCGAGGTGGCGGCGCTGGGGCCGTCGAGGAATCCTCCCCTTGCTCGTCGAGCGTGATGATCGGAATGGTCCGCCTGGTGGTCGTGGTGGATACGACGACGGAAGGGGGGCCTCCGTGCGGGGCCTCGATCTCGCGTCTTCGTGCCACGTCAACAAGCCCGGGTGGCGCTGGGCGAATCTGGGGCTCTTTCCTCGGCCGGCCGATTCGGCGTCCGAGCGTTGGTGGTGCGGGTATCTGCCAACTCCCCCTTTTCCGTGTGGTCGGTTCCTTGACCTCCCTCTGGAGGCTAGGACCGGGCTTGGCTGTTATAGGTGCCAGCGGTGGTGGTTCGGTCGTTGAGACGCGGATGACCGTCGGCGGGGCCGCTGCGGGTGCCGGAAGCGCTGGCGGTGGTCCTTTCGGATCCTCGGGGCGATGCTCGGCAGAGGTTCCCCCTCGGTCTGGCGGGCTTCCCTTTTCAGCAGTCTCAGTGACCCGGCGCCATACGGCGGCGGCGTCGTCGTCGGTTTTGAGCAGGAGCTCGGCCAGCTCGTCAATATAGTTGTCTAGCTCCATATTAACGATTGACTGTCCCGCATGCTTGATCCTCTCCGCTTTTATAGTCGTTAGGCTCGAAATTACGGCTTGATTCGGGGAGATCGGTCAATCTTCTGGTTGGTCGATGTTCGTTACCTGTTGTTGGGAACGTGATCGTGTTGATTTCTCGGTCTTTGTTATCCGGTGCGGCGCGCATGTCGTGCACGTGTGTTTTTATAAATTCGGTCTCGTTCGTCTTTCAAATCGACGATTACTGGAGAATGTATTTTCTTTACGGTGAACGATCCGCTATATTTTGGCGCAAGTTTGGCATTGAATGCCTTCGTCTTGTCGGATTGAAGGTGTTCCTTTTTCCACACTGTTTCTCCGAGTTGTGGGCGCCATGCTCTCCTCCGTAAATTGTAATGAGATTCCTGTCGTTGAAATGCTTGGGCGAGATGCATTTTCACGAGCTCGTGTGTTTCAGTCAGTACCTTCGCCACGGTGGAGGGTGGCGGAACGGGAGGTTTGTCCCTTCGGTCTTCTTGGTGTGGTCGGGCCAGTTCGCGTCCGTGATTCAGGAACGCTGGGCTGAATCGGGTAGCGTCATGTTGGGCGGTATTAAATGCGAATCGGAGGGCGCCCAAGTGTTCGTCCCAGCGGCGATGCTTTTTATCGACATATTGGGCGATCATTGTTTTAATGGTGCGATTGGTACGCTCCACGGGATTGCACTGTGGTGTGTAGATAGGTGTGGTGCGGTGGCGGATGCCAAAATTTTTGCACATCTCCTGGAATTCCTTGGCACTAAACTGTGGGCCGTTGTCGGAGATAATGGTGTCCGGGCATCCGTGTCGATAAATAATGGTGTCGATGATGTGGGTCACGATTACTGGGGCCGTTGCCACTCGAAGTGCTTTGACTTCCAGCCATTTGGTGAAGCGATCCTGCATGGTAAGTAACCACGTGTGTCTTTGACGAGAACGCGGCAAGGGTCCCACCAAGTCGATGGCCACCTGTTCCCAGGGGTGCTTCACTGCCGTGGCGTGGAGTAGGCCGGGTGGTTTCTGTTGTCCGGCTTTGTGTGCTAAACAGGTGGGGCACTTTCGGACATACTGGGCGATATCGCGGGCCATGCCGGGCCAGTAGTAGTGTTCGCCGATGCATATGATGGTTTTGGCGATGCCGAGATGTCCGGCAGCGGGATCGTCGTGCATTCGTTTGAGCGTTAATGTTCTTTCGGTTGTGGGTAGGCATCTCTTCCATTGTGCGGCGGTTGGCACTTCCCGGAAGTCGAGATTATGTAGAAAATGTCGAAACACGTGGCCGTCTCGCAGGTCGTAGTCGGGATGTGCGTCTGGGTGTGCTGTGACCTGGGCCTTGAATTTCTCGTACCAGGAACAGGTCGGATGGCTGGTGATAACGGCCACTTCAGGTTCTCGGGACAGGGCATCGGCTACCTGGTTACTGGATCCGCGTCGGTAGCGGATCTCGAAGTCGTATTGTTGGAGTTCGAACTTCCAACGTCCGAGTCGGCCGGTCGGTGATTCAATTTTCTGCAGCCACTTCAGCGACTGGTGGTCGGTGAGGACGGTGAATGTGTACCCTTCGAGGTATTCGCGCATCTTGCGGATGCCCCAGACCACGGCCAGGCACTCCAGTTCGGTGGCGCTATAATTCCTTTCGGCATTGTTCAGGGTTCGACTGGCGTAGGCGACGAACTTTTCTCCCTCTTCAGTCTCCTGGGTCAGTACGGCTCCCAGGCCGGACTGGCTGGCGTCGGTTTGGAGAGTGAATCGTTGCGCAAAATCTGGACAGGTCAGCACTGGTGCGGTAATGAGAGCGTCTTTTAGTCGTTGGAAGGCGTCGGCCTCCTCGTCGTGCCACCTCCATCGTTCTTTCCTTTTGGTCAGCCGCGTGAGTGGTGCTGCGAGCCGGGAGAAATTCGGTACGAATCGGCGGTACCACGATGCTAGGCCTAGGAATTGTCGCACTTTCTTCACGTTGGTGGGTGTGGGCCATGCGGCAATAGCGCTGGTCTTCCCAGGGTCGGTGTGGATGCCTTCCTTGTTGATCAGATGACCGAGGTATTTTATCTGGGCGCAGCAAAACTGGCATTTGTCGATGTTGAGTCGCAGCCGGGCCCCCCGAAGGCGACGAAACACTTCGCGTAAATGAGTGAGATGCTCCTGGAAGGTGTTACTCAGCACGATGATGTCATCGAGGTACACCAACACGTTCGGTTCGAGGTCCGGGCCGAGGACAGTGTTGACCAATCGCTGGAAGGTGGCGGGGGCAGAGTGTAGTCCGAATGGCAATACCCTGAACTGCATGAGTCCGCGCCCGGGCACCGTAAAAGCTGTGATTCCCTTGCTGTTCGGAGTGAGCGGTACTTGCCAGTACCCGTTCTTTAAGTCTAATGTGGATAGGTATTTGGCCCCTCGCAGTTTATCCAGGGTAGCTGTGATTTGTGGCAACGGGTATGCATCCCTTTCGGTAACTTCGTTGACTTTCCGAAAGTCAATGCAAAATCGATAACCGCCGTCCTTCTTTCTCACGAGTACCACAGGGGAGCTCCAGGCACTGCTGGACGGTTCAATCACCCCGTCCTCCTCCATCTGTTGTACTTCCTCGTCAATGATGCGTTGCATCGCCGGATTCCGGGGTCGGTATCGCTGCTTGATCGGCGCGATCCCCCGGCTAACCGAATTTCGTGCTGGATAGCGGAGGTAGGTCCGGAGACGGTGTTGAGTTTTTCTAGTTCCGACCGCAGAAAAATTTGTAGCTGCTCGTCGTCTGTTGTGGCGACTGGTTGTCTGAACGCCTCGACTACTCCAACTGTACGGGTATGGTCGGCGGTAGGGAGGGGCGGGGGTTGTAGAGTTAGTCCGAGGCGTGACCACAAATCCATGCCGATAATAATTGGCGTGGTCAATTTCTCCATGACCGTAAAACGGTGATGGAACTGTTGCGTTCCTACCCAAAATATTAGATGGGTGGACCCGCAGGTGGCAACCCGGGTGCCGTTGGCTAAGGTTACCCATGAGCTGGGTCCGAGGGGTTGATCCTCGGGCCTCAAACTTTTGGCGCTTACCAGGGAGGTTTCTGCTCCAGAGTCAATTAGTGCCCTAAAAGGGCGATTTTGGTAGCGCACGGTTATACTGGGGCGCGGCGTGTATGTTATGCGTGGGACCGGGGAGTGTCCGCTCCGTCCTCGGTCACGCCCGCGTTTCCCGGTGGCGGATGGCACTGTTTTGTGAGCATCCCCTCTTTTCCGCATCGCGAGCAGAACTTAATGGCGGGTTGATCCCATTCCTGTCGCTGGTGTCCGGGCTGTTTGCACCGCCAGCAACATGCCTCGCGATCGTATGCCATAGTGGCTACGGTGGGTCCGCTTAACCGTGGGGGTTTCCCCTGGACGCGTTGCTGTCGGGTCAGTTCCTCGTATTTGCGGGCTAACCGGCCGAGGTCCTTGACATCCCGTGCCTCATAGGCTCCGAGGAACATTTTATAGCCCGGGTCTAGATTATCGTATAGACGGCCCAGCGTATTATTTATTTCGTCGTCGTCGCCACTGCGTCGGATCAAGGTGAGTAGTGCATTTTCATATTCTCGATATGATTCGTGGGGCCGTTGTCGACGCTCGACGATTTGGCGTCGCATTTCCTCGCGGTATAGAGGCGGTAAATAATGCTCGCGGAAAGCAGCGCAGAAATCGTCCCAGTTGTGCCAGCCAGGACGGTGGTTCCGATACCAGAGTAGCGGTTCTCCCCGCAGCATCTCTGGAATTCCCCAAAACAGCTGTCTGGTAGTAAGCCCATAGCAGACGCGGAGCTCATCAATCCGTTCTAAAAAGTTAAGCGGGTCCTTCCCTGTAAACTTGCAATCCCACTTATGGATTTCATGGATTGCCTCTGCGTCGGTGGGGGCTTTGTTCGCAGGATCCCATCCTGGTATTTGTTCGTCCTCCGTGCTGGCGGCACTGGGTATATGGAGGGGGCTAAGCACCCGTCGGTCGGTAGGTCGGGTGAGGAATAATCCGGGGTTCTCGGTCACGAAACGGCGAAGGCGTCGTCGGAGGTCATCGATAGTGCCGCTCGTGTCCAGTCCATACTGACCGAGTCGGTGACTAATTTCCGCCTTATTGAGCTCTTGTATCCAGGCTCTTGGGGCGGTACTCATCTTGATTCTCGTTGGTTCCCTTGTCTCCACTTATCGTGCAACACACACCTTCCCTTTAGCTGCCGGATCCTGGCAGGATCGCCATGTAACGGTCGCGCCTCCAGGCTCGGTTGTTTCGGGTTGATCCGGCCCTGTGGCTTGGATCGCGGTTTGCGAGCCGACCACAGGAAAGATTTTCAGGTGAAGGTGTGTGTGTGGTGTGTGTATGTGTCAATAAGCGAAGACAAAATAAGTATAACACAATAAGTCTTTATTTGCCCGTCACGACCGCGTGCCGTGACGCGACGTCCCAATGTTTGGGTGTTAGATGATTGCGTGAATCGTTTCCGCGGACGCTACGAGCCCCGCGGGGTCACCGTGGTAGGTGAGCGATTTGCTTGGAGCTTATTTCGGTAATTATTTCAGACGGCGCTTGATCCGCAATGAGGGTCGAGCCACCGATTAGTGACCGCGCGGTGTGTGTTCCGTTGTGGTTTAAAGCGCTAGCTTGGGTGATTCGGCACGCGACTTGACGACGGGTCGAAAAAACGGTGTAAGAACGCGTCGCGACACGTCGCGCTCGCTTTTGTCCTCGGCCGCAGCGTTGATCGCCCCGGGGGTCGAGGGGTGCGGGCGATGGGAGTATTCCTTGTGTGCTGGACCGACGCGTCAACTCCCAGCTGATCAGCTCTTGCCTTCCTGGTGTCCTACTTGATGAAATTACGAAAGAGATATCGTGAGATCGTTCCGGTGAACACACCGGAGCGACGGCAAACTCGCCGTCCGATCCTTATATCGTAAAGACAGCACAACATAAGATCGTTCCGGTGAACACACCGGAGCGACGGCAAACTCGCCGTCCGATCCTTTATATCGCAAAGACGGCACGAAATATCGCAAAGACGGCACAAAATAAGATCGTTCCGGTGAACACACTGGAGCGACGGCGAACTCGCCGTCCGATCCTTATATCGCGAAGACGGCACGAAAGAAGATCGTTCCGGTGAACACACCGGAGCGACGGCAAACTCGCCGTCCGATCTTTATAGCGCAAAGGACAGGTATTATTAATCACCGTCGTAGACGGCCTGGTAACTCACTTACGAATTTCGGCAGAAGCTTCTCGGTTGATCCTCTCTCGGAAAGAACTAGTCGTGGAGACGGAACTCTGGAGACTTCCCTCTCGTTAAAATCTGCCGGGGTTATATACCCGAGATTTTGGGGCTTCGGTTTTCTTCGCCCTTAACCGGAGTTAATTCCGCTTTTTAATCGGAATTAATCGTGATTATGCGGCGTTTGCCGAATAACTTCGGCGGGGCCGCTAGCTCGGTTCGGCGGCCGATCGTGCCCGAGCGTTGTTGCCGGGTAGTCGGGCATATTCGGCCGAGCGCGACGTTTCAGCGCGGTGTCAGCGCGGGTCGGGGGGTGTGCGCTCAGCTGACTGTCGCGTGCTGCTAGGCGGCAGTCAGCGTAACGGCACAAAAATCTTTGTGTCGTTACAAGCTGAGTTTTATAAAACGTGCGAGCGGTGTCAAGCGCGTGCGATATTGCTTCGGCTATCAACGTGTCTTGCAACAATGGTTCGGTATGCGAAATCACCGGTCGTTCCAACTCGAACGATTCCATTGATGATTTAGTACGAAATCGATGTCTACGGTTGAAGTAGTTTCGACGCAGCACGCGCGCTCGACTGCACGTGATCGCTCGATCACAATATAGCGAACGACGGATACTCGACGATCCATCCAAGGCACACCATTCAAACCATGGGACACGAGGTGTAGCGAGGACAAAGTCTGACTCTATCTCATATTCGAACAAATCATCTTCGGTGTCACTGCTCGAACTGTCTGACGAACTTCCAGAGGTCTTGGTGTTTCTATCGAGCACCTCCTCACTGCGTGGCATTGCGCGCCGTGTAATCACGAAATTAGATCCCGTTGTGTCAAACACGAACAACTCGTCCCAATCGCTGTCACTGCTCGAACTCTTCGACGAATTCATTGCTGCACGAATAAATTCTTCGTTCAGCAATCTTGGCGTTTTTATTGAGCCACTCCCCCCCCTCTTCATCACATCCCTCCCCTCTCCCCACTACGTGGCATTACGTTCGCTAATATTGCGACGTATCCATTTCATATGTTCGATAATATATTTTAATATCGAATTTGAATTGCAAAGAGTATAATCGCTCTACAAACAGGACATTCAGTCAGATTTTCGCTACAGTACGTACACGATAATGTATGTCGGCAAGGTAAAAACAGAACGTTTCGTTTATATTCTTAACATATGATACACTCGTGTTTACACTCTTTGAGTTTCTGCTGAGATCGAAATGTCGGTGTCGACGGCGTCAGTGCATCGCCGTCAAAGATTCGTTCGCGCTTATACGACTGCCTGACTGACTCTGTTTGTTCGATTACTAAAAATAAGTTTTCACGAATCGCGGCATGGTCCGTGTGACGTAGTACATTCAACAATAGATTAGCTCGGTTACAGAGATTTTCTATTTGCATGACTGAATTGGAAGTGTTGCAACACATGCGTTCAAAGCTTTCGATCAATTGCGTATACTCTTTTATGTCGCACTGCGTGGCTAGGCGTAGATCATTCAAACGGTCCGAAAGAGTTGTAACGCCAACCGTGTCATTTGTGTCAATTGAACGAGTAGCCACCGGTATGTAACCCATTAACATTCGATCGGCTATGCGCTCATCGAAGTCGCATCGTCGTCGCTGATTATCGTAAGCAGTAAATCGCCGCAAATTAAGACAGCATTCGATTTCGTCGACGCTGGAACGCTTTTGAGCGGTCTCGCCCACGCTACATTTGTTCTCCTCCATGCCAAGAATGTCATTGACACCATCACCACTATCATCACCACGATCGAACCTGATCGGTCTTCTCGGTGCCGGAATTAGAGAAGCAGCTTTCTCTGATTCGGGCTCAGCGGTATCCTCGTTGAGAAAATGAACACGGCATACAACTTTGGCCCAGGAACATTCTCGACTCCAGTACAAATGTTCCCGCCACGGATCAAATGTGTCATCTGTTATGGTCGCATCTCTCTCGTTACTGCTACACCAATTTTTCAATACGATTCCGCAACTGTAGCACATCATTAAATCGGAGATACCGGTGTAAAAGAAACCGACCCACGCTAAATCTCGATGATGCCGTCGCGACGGCAATGCGTTGCGCAACCACTGATCAAAAGTGGCCAATCGTTGTTCGAAAGAATCGAATTGCATATATTGGGTGAGTGCAAAAGTTCGTGCGGAGTTTCAATAGATGGAGTTATAAGCGTCGTAAAGTGTTGTCATTAATACTTCCATCTACATATTATATAACGTTGGAAAGGTGACGTCTTCAGCTGTTATTAAAAAAAAAATCATTTGTTTTCATACAAACTGTTTCGAGAAATATCACTTTAAAAATGAGTATCGATAAGGTGCATTTACGGCATGTTATGCTTTACGAGTTTCGGAAGGGAATAAACGTTGCCGCAGCCGTAAAAAACATTCAGGATGTTTATCAGGATGAAGCACCAGCTAAACGAACTGTGGAAAAATGGTTTGCTAAATTTCGGCGCGGAGAATTTAACCTTGAAGACGAGCCACGCTCTGGTCGACCTTCTGACATTGATGACGATGTTTTGCGTACTTTAGTGCTCAATAATCCGCGAATTTCAACAGAAGAAGTTGCTACAGCACTAAACGTTGACCGATCAACCGCTTTTCGGCGTTTAAAAAAGATGGGATTCGATTTGAAGCTCGATATATGGGTGCCCCATTTGCTGACCGAGAAGAACAAAATCAAGCGAATTTCTGCAGCCGTTTCTTTACTCGGGCGGCTCAATAACGAGTCGTTTTTGGATCGACTAGTGACGGGCGATGAGAAATGGGTCCTCTACAACAATGTTCAGCGCAAACGGACATGGAAACAATCAGGTGAGCATGGTGACGCAATGCCAAAGGCCAGTTTGCACCCGATGAAGGTGATGCTCTCTGTTTGGTGGGATTGCAAGGGCATAATCTATTTCGAGCTTCTCCCCGCTGGCGAAACGATTGATTCGGACAAGTACTGTCGCCAATTAACCAATCTGAATCGAGAAATAAAAGAGAAACGTCCGATTTTGTCAAATCGCAAGGGAGTCGTCTTTCATCACGACAACGCCAGACCACACGTTTCGAAAAAGACGCTGCGCAAACTGAAGAGCCTGAAATGGGATGTCTTAACGCATCCACCGTATTCTCCTGATATCGCACCACTGTGACTATCACTTGTTCCGGTCATTGCAAAATTATTTAAATGGAAAAAACTTTGACTCTTTGGAGGCCTTAAAAAACGGCATCTCTTCGTTCTTCGAATCTAAACCGCGCAGTTTTTATGATCGAGGCATCCGTATGCTGCCAGAACGTTGGGAAAAGATTATAGAAAACGATGGAGAATATATCATTGATTGAATAAAGATTTTTGTTTGCCTAATCACTGTGTGACTTTTACTCACAAACTCCGCACGAACTTTTGCACTCACCCAATATATAGGCTGCTCTAACTGTAAGCTCGATGCAAATTCTCGCTCCACACTGCCTTGTATCGTCGTCGGCAACGGCCTTGTTTCGTCCTCTTCACTGTTGTGACGGCAAGCGTCGTTGTCGCTCTCTGTGATGAAACGACGACGCGGTATCATTGACGCCATGGTACTGCTGTTCTATTGCTTAGATGATGAACGCAATAAAAAATCTCGGCAATTTAACGATAATTGTCCAGCGATGTCGAGCCTTTTCTTATTGCTATATAATAACACGATTCTCTTTTTTAGAAGGAGGTGTCAAAATGTGGCGTCTATGTGTCACATTGTCGCGTCGAATAAGATGCTATCGAGTTGAGGCATCTTCAGTCAAGATTTCATATTGGTCGTAGCAAATCTGAACTAGACTGGTTTCAGGTATCTCCCACCCTAACCCAACGCCGAGCGGATCATTCGAAATGACCTGAAACGTTATTTGAAGATCCGAGGGAGATATCGTCTTTCGGTTTGACGACGCGCACAAGGGTGAAATTCAGTCACATCCAAACGTTCTCTCGAAGGAGTCGGGTCACTTTGAGACAAGATAGCAATCGCGAGTGTTGAATACGAGTTGCGCGTACGTGTCAGTCAGTGTTAACTACTCGTTAGAAAAAAAGTTTGTTCCCGAGCAACACCGAAAAAAAGTCGTTAATGCCGTTACATTTTCAATGTACGAAGGACACAGTAATGTCTTCGATAAAACAGACACATCACCTAGGGCTCGATGGATACGCGAACATCCCGACGATTACGTCAAACGAGTGTACGAGCGTATATGTGAGGAATTGAGCCAAATAAAAAATAGACTTAATATTCGCTATGAAATGTTACAATATTTCTCGCGAGAAGACTTCAACGATTTTCGTGAAATATCAGTGGAGACTCACGATTGTAACTTATGCAAAGTGCTAAATGACTTCAGTTCCAACCTCAAGAGTATTAAAGTGTACAACGATACTACACTCGTTACATTAAACGACGACGTCGAAGCGGCGATGAAAGTAAGCGCTCACGTGATAAGTGAAACTGAAACTTTTGAACACAAAACAATTCCGGCTTCACTCGATAACAAAGCGCCACAAAAGCAAGCGGACTGCAATTTACCAAACATCACGAATATAGAGCATCTAGAGAAGGTGTGCTATCGGGGGCATGATGGCAATTTCGTGCTTCCTGAAAATAAAAAAGAAAATAATGTAACAGCGGTGGAAGAAATCATATCAGTGATCGCCATGGAGGATACGACTGACAGTTTACGTAAATGTGAAAATATTACTAATGTGGATGCGTTGATTCAAGAAGTCACTATTGAAACGGTGATGCCAACTGAGCAGCAGAGTAACGTTAGCTCGGACGTTATGCTCAACTCTACCGAATCTAAGTCTGCCGCATGCTCAAATGATGATATATTGGCCGATAACATATCTATTTTGCTGAAGCGCGACGCGCACAGATTTCGGGTCGCTTCGCAGAATAAAGAGGCTGAAATACCATTGGCGTCATTTTCATCGTTAGCCGAGGCATCATTGTCAGTCGAACAGTTCGCGTCGCCTAATTTTACATACGAAACACCGCCTCCTCAAAGACGATCAGAGCAAGTGCTGCACTCAACAACATCTGTACCAGAGTACCCGTATCCGTCAGAGACATCGATTATGC